ATCATAAAAATTTCATTTTCGTCATGGCCAAGGATTAGTAGGTGTTAATTCGAACGATGTTGAATATAACCTGTATTGAGTTGGTTCGAGCGAGGTCGAATGTGAGTTAATTCGAACGAGGTAGAATGTGAGTTAATTCGAACGAGGTCGAATGTTAGTTAATTCGAACGAGGTCGAATGTTAATGAATTCGAACGAGGTCGAATGAGAGTTAATTCGAACGAGGTCGAATGTGAGTTAATTCGAACGAGGTCGCATTAACTATGTTAGTTAATTCGGACGAGGTCGAATGTTAGTTAATTCGAACGAGGTTGAATGTTAGTTAATTCGAACGAGGTCAAATGTTAGTTAATTCGAACGAGGTCGAATGTTAGTTAATTCGAACGAGGTCGAATGTTAATGAATTCGAACGAGGTCGAATGAGAGTTAATTCGAACGAGGTCGAATGTGAGTTAATTCGAACGAGGTCGCATTAACTATGTTAGTTAATTCGGACGAGGTCGAATGTTAGTTAATTCGAACGAGGTTGAATGTTAGTTAATTCGAACGAGGTCGAATGTTATTTACTTAATTGTGGCCGGGGGCCGAGTAGATATTGAGGCAATTTTGTTCTGTCGAAAACATGGGCGAACTTCATACATTTGTGTTTTGCTCATATACTTGGAGAAATTTACATGTTTTTCGGGCTGGCATTCCAGTCCCAGTTTATCTAGTCTATTCATTGGGTGACCTGGAGACATGTTGAGAGGTTGGGCAATGAACTGACCATCCAGTGTCTCTTTCCGTTCGTATTTCGACTTGAAGTGTCCCCCTTGTCGCCTCGTTAAAAACCTCCTTGAGAAAACCCAATTGGGACACAACTCAAGTTAGGGAAAATGAGTACGACTTGGAGGACGCTTTTTCTTAAAAGTTGAAATACTTGAAGTGGGCGACATTCCCATTGTTTGGTAGTAGTTTTCCTTCCATTATTTCTAGTTGAAATGACCATTTATTTGCTGTTGCCGTAATTTTGTATGGGCCGACCCAATTCATCCCTAGTTTGCCTTCCCGCTAGTCTTTACTTGCTTGTGTTTTGGCCTTGAGCACGTAGTCCCCGACTTTGAGTGGTCTGATCTTGGCCTTTTTGTTGTAATAGTGTTCTGCCTGCTGTTTTTGGGCGATCATCCTCATGTAGGCCATATCTCTCCGTTTTTCGGCTTCGTCGAGCTCTTGCCTTATGCTTTCATTGTTCCTCGGCCCGCTCTCATAGGAGTATCGCAAACTGGGCTCTCCGACTTCGATTGGTATTACCACATCAGTCCCATAGACCAAAGAGTAGGGCGTCTCTCCTGTGCTCGTTTTTGGCGTTGTGCGATAGGCCCAAAACACTTCTGTTAATAGCTCTGGCCATAATCCCTTGGCGTCCTCAAGCTTTTTCTTCATGATGTTTAGTATTGATTTATTGGAGGATTTCGCTTGCCCGTTGCCCGTGGGGTGGTATGGTGTGGAGAGTATTCTTTTGATATGCCACTTCTCAAAAAATTCGGCGACCTTTTTTCCAGTAAATTGGGGTCCGTTGTCGCAACTGATCTCTTTGGGGAGGACGATGCGACACACAATATTTTCCATATGAAGGCGATCACTTCCTGTTCGCGTATTTGGGCGAATGCTACTGCTTCTACCAATTTAAAAAAATAGTCAGTTAAAACTAAAAGAAATCGTATATTACCTCGCCCCGCAGGGAGGGGGCCGGCGATGTCCATTCCCCATTTGATGAAAGGCCAAGGGGAAGTGACCGAGTGGAGATGATCGCCCGCTTGATGGATCATTAGGGCGTATTTTTTGCATTGCTCGCATTTTTTCACGAAGTATGCGGTCTCTTTTTTCATAGTAGGCCAGTAGTAACCTGCCAGTGTGAGACATCTGACCAGAGCTCGATTTCCTGAGTGAGCTCCACAGTGGCCTTCGCGGAGTTCTTCTAGGACGCGCCACGTTTGATTCGGGCCTAAGCATTTCGCTAGGGGGCCGCCATAAGTCCTTTTGTATAGGTAGTTGTGAATGATGTTGTACCTGGCCGCTTACATCCAGATCTTCTTGGCTTTCTTTTTATCATCTGGGAGTACGCCGTCCTTCAAGTATGTATCAATACGGTTGCGCCAGTTCCAAGTTAGATTTATAGTCCTTACCACAATTTGATCTATCGATGAGTGGAGGAGGGTGACCACGTTTCCTTCTCCGGTTATGCTTTTAGCTGCTGCCGCTAATTTGGCGAGGCCGTCTGCTTCGATGTTTTGCGCTCGAGGGATTTGGTCGAGCTGCCATTCGTCGAACTCTGGTAGTAGTTTGCAGATCTCGGCCTGGTATTTTTGTAACCTTTGCTCTTTGATCTGGAAAGTCCCTGTGACTTGGTTGACGACGAGTTGAGAGTCGCAGCATAAGATGACCCGCCTCGCCCCGTACTTGAGTGTTAGCCTTAACCCTGCAATCACGGGCTCATACTCGACCTCGTTGTTAGTCATGTCTGGACATCTTATGGACTGGCGAACCACTTCGCCTGTCGGGACTTCGAGCATAAGTCCCAGTCCGGCCCTCGACGCATTGGAAGCACCGTCGGTGTACAAAATCCATAGATCTTGTGTTTGTGGAGAAGCGTGGGCGGCTTCTTTTTCGACTTCGGGCATTATTTTTGCGCTGAAGTCGGCGACAAAATCGGCAAGGACTTGTGATTTTATCGCCGTCCGCGGTTGATATATGATATCATGCTCACTTAATTCTATGGCTCACTTGGCTAACCTGCCCGATAGCTCAGGCTTGTGCAAAATACTTCGCAAGGGGGAAGTTGTGACTACCGAGATGGGGTGACACTGAAAGTAGGGTCTAAGCTTTCGTAAAGCTACGACCAGGGCCACGACCAATTTTTTGAGCTGGGGATACCTCGTCTCGGGGTCGATTAAGGTTTTGCTAATGTAATAGATGGGAGATTGCGTACCTTTATCTGGAATGTTGGCGGAGGATTAAATGATGTGTACATTAAATGTTTCAAGATCTTTAATGATAGAAGAATTTCAAGCAATAAATAATAATAAATGGCATTAACGTAAACAAGGAGAATGATTCACCTAATATTGAATGAGGTGGATGATTCCTCCTTTTGACAGTGATGAGTGATAGGCAAATGCTATAATATTGGAACTATTCTCGGATATGATGGGAAAATATGGAATAATATATAATCGAATTTTCTCAGAAAGGTAGTATTTGTATCTTTTCTAGAGAGAAAGTATTCTTCTCAAAAAGTGTTCTTTTTAGAGAATGCTACCTCCCCTTTCCCCCATATCTCTTTTCCTATTTATATGGGACATAACTTAGTCAACCCTAAAAGTACAGATACCAAGAATATTCAATTGAATATTCTCTTGAATATCCTATTACAAAAACTAGTCGTTAGCACTGCCTTTGATATTCGACCTCGGCCGTTATTGACTGCTCGGCTACGAGCTCCGTTATCTACTAGTCGACCTCGACCATATCGCTTTTCACGATATCGCTCCATGCTAAATCCCACTAAAGCAAATTTTGACCTATACAATGTCCATAGTCGAATTGGACTGCGAAATAACATTAAGAGAGCTAGGGGTGTACAAATCGAATCGGAAAACTGCACCAAACCGAAAAGTCAAACCAAACTGATTAAAAAACCCGATTAAGTTTGGTTTGATTTGGTTTAGTACTGAATAAAAACTTTTTATATAATTTTCTTTAAAATATCAAGAAATATTTGCGATTCTCTTATGTGATGTAATATTTAATTAAATATAAAGTGCTCCATATTTATTAACTTTAAATAATGGGTTATATGATCACTTTCTTATCAAGTGTTAGTGAAATGCGTCAATCTCTTTGTTCTTCCATATTCATATGCCAATATTTGTTAAATTCTAATATCATTTTCGAATTTGAAANATATATATATATATATATAAAATTATTTACGTTTAATTATTAAATTCAACCTTGAAAGTGTACATCAATATAAATTATTGTTAGACGAGTAAAAAATAACTATCATATGTTACAAAAAAAAAATTTCTTCCATAAGAATATTCATATTCTTATTTCAATTTTTACTAAACATATTTTTTTTTCAACACTAAACATATATTTACTTATAAAAAATTTAACAAAGTAAGATTGAAATAATATTTATATAATAAAAAAATCTGAAAAACCCGAAAACTCGAAAAAACCGAACCATTCAAAACTGATAAAATTAGTTTGGTTTGATTTTGATAAAAAAAATCGAACCAACCCGTTCTATGTACAAAGCTATGAATTTGAATGGATGAAGGAGTAATAGTGCAGAAAATATACTTGAGTTTCACATCAGGTGGGAAGAAAATCTCGAGCAATTTATAAACAGACTTCATAAAATATTTTCCTTTGAGCTAACTAACTTATAGGAGTACGTGGAAGTCAAAGGATTAACGTAGAAAGTGGTAGGTAGTTTGATCGTATTTCTTTTTTATGCTAGTAATATTATTTCCTTATTCATAGTTTGTTTTACTTCGTGTTGTTTCTTTCACTTCAGTTATCTTATTATTTTAATGTTGTTACTGCTTGATACTACTGTTTCTTTTTCTTCTTTCCTTGAGTCGTGAGTCTATAAAAAAAACAGTTTTTTTACCTTCACAAGGTAAGGTATAAGGTCTACATATAATGTATATATTATAGACCATACTTATGAGATTTCATTGGATTTGTTATTGTTTTTGTTGTAAACAATCAGGAGAAAATGACCAGTTAAATCTCAATTTTTTGTTGCCAATTAATTTTTTTGATTAATTATATTAGATAAAGAAAAATTACTCTGGTTTGACAGAGGAGTGCGAGAAGCACTAAAGGGAGTGTCAATAGCATGATCTAAAAAACTTAAATAGTCCCCCCCACCCTACGTGTCATTTTATGCACATTTTATACGTATACTCCTATATCCCATATCTTTTTAGTACATCATATTAATATCCCTCGTTCTATTCCTCATACCCACAAGGCAAACCATAAAAAACCTCCTCTCGTTCCTCTCTTTGCTTCCACCGGCGCCGTCCTCATTTCTCTCCTTTGAACCCATAATTCTTGCACACATAGTACAATCTTTGGCCCAAGTGTTTTTCTTTTCAGTCCTCTGTTCTGTAATGGCAACGGCACCGGTCAAGTCACAGCCACTGCATTATTTCTCTTTACCCCAGTTGAAGTGGGGCCAAAAAAGCCACACTAACACCAACCACCGCTTCCGCCGCCGCGAGTCTCCTTCGTCTACAGCCGATAACCACCTCAATACACCCCAAACCACTGACTTGAACGGTGGTTCTGACTCCGACAAGCTCCCAGTAGAAGAACAAAGACAAGAAGAACATGTAGTAGAAGAAGAAGAAGGGCAAAAAGAGGAAAAAGTGTTGTGGAATTTAAGGCCAAGAAAGAGTGTAATGAAGGTGGGGTTAGAGGCTGAAACGGCGCCGTTAAAGAAGAACGTTGAAATGGAAGTTGAAAGCAGTAATCATATAAGGTCGCAGAGGGTGAGAGATAATAACGTGGATAATGGGCATGGATTCGGGTCGGGTAAGAAAGAGAAAAAGAAAAAGTTATGGATCTCGTTGTCAAGGGAAGAGATAGAGGAAGATGTGTATTCTATGACTGGGTCAAGACCCGCTAGGAGGCCCAAGAAACGATCCAAGACAATTCAAAAACAACTCGATGTATGAAAAAAGCTAGCATCTTTTTTTTATTTCTTTAATGCTTTTGCTTTCTTTTTTTGTTCTTATGGTCTGCTTGGTGTGTGTGTGTTTTTTTGCAGAATGTTTTCCCTGGGATGTATTTAGTAGGTCTCACGGCTGATTCGTTCAGAGTTAATGATACTACGGTATAGGCTCAGCTCACTTTCTATGTCTGTGTTTCTTTCAAAACATTACATCCTCAGAATTTATGTGGCATACTTTCTTTTTTAGTATGTCGCTGAAAATGTCATACGTCCCCGTTTAGAAGTAATTTAACGTTTAACTTCCTATTTTATCCGTAATAAGATGAGTTTTAACTACAAATGTATATGACTTGTTTTAAATCACAATTTTCAAAAGTCTCTCTTTTCTAACTCTGAGCCCAATCAAACACCGCCACATAAATTGGGAGTATTATCTTTGGCAAATGTGATGCTTTATATGATGTTAAGATATAATTGAGAATTGCATGTTTGTTGCAGAAGTAGATATGGCATAGCTGGTGTATACAAACTTTTCCTTCTCTTGCAAAAGGTCTGGCCTTTCTCTTGTTGACTATTTGTGTTTTTGATGGTTCTCTATCATGTTTGATTTATTTGGTGGGTATTATATAGAGTTTTAACGGCTTAATATTATGGATTGCAGATTTTGCAAGGATTGAGGAACCAAGGTGGAAGCTTAGAGCTTGAGCATTGCTGCATTCATGCCTCAATTTTGGAGGTATAATGTATTGAATTACGTAGAAGCAATAGGATAGCATCTTGGGATTGTATCTAGTGTTCGTCTAGTTTATTTCAATTAAGACTATATGGGTATATTTTGAATGATTTTGGTTGCAATGGTGTAGCCTAATGTATGTAAAAAATAGAATTTGAGATATGGATGGATATAATTTGTTACTTTCTGTTGTTATTTGATTTTCCCTCATAATGTGGCTTGACAGGCTTCCAGACTCTGTTTGGGGGCAGGGGTCATTATTTGTTCACAAATTGATTCTGTTCCGCGAATGTCAGTGGAGATGCTGCTTGCTTTCCTATATTGGGAAGGAGATCTCCAGCTTGTCTGGAGCTACAGATGACAAAGGGTGAACAATTTATGTGCTTTCTGAACATACTTCTTGATTTGCATGAGTCATGATTAAGACTTGAGGATAACTTTCGTGTCACTGACGAAATTATGCTAGGGGAATTTTTTTCTTTGGATATTGCAAAAGAAAGGCAAGTATTAATTTTTATCGAAGATAGCATGTAAATTAATGTTGCCTTGAGATGTTTCGTGCCCTCCAAAGAATGATGTACATACTGTTTTTTGCTCGTTGAAGTTCTGTGGCAATCATATGATAGAAACGTACAGAATTCATAGGGATCATGAAATTAGAAAGTTTGTTTATAGATTTTCGAAGTGCAAGATTTGGTCGAATGACGTTTATACTTGCAAGCTGTGTTCTCTACGGTGTGCAGTGAAACTTTGCCATATATTTTGTCAAAGTCTTAATGCATCTTGATATCTGGACAGTATTGGTGCAGTATACTAAACTCTACTTTCAGACAGTCTTACGTATTAGTGCCGAAAATGCTACAGTGTGTATTAGTTAATTTATGGCTTTTAAGCACTCCTCATCCGTGATTTCAATGGGGAGATTATTTCCTTATGATCTAGCAGGATTAGTAAACTCTATCTCCTTTTGGTTATTGAAATTAAGTGCATCATGCTTATGTGACTGGGAAGGATTGGATTTCTTTTTTCTAACTTAGTATATATTGATTTATCGGGTAAAATATGTCAGTCAAACTTGAATATAGAATGTGTGTTTATTCAAGTATACAGTCAAACCTCTCTATAACACCCTCGTTTGTTCCGAATATTTTTGGATGTTATAGTGAAGTGCCGTTATAGAGAACATATATTATAACATAACATAAAAATTGGTTCCGAAAAAGCTTGGCTTTTATAGAGAAGTGTTGTTATATAGGGATGTTGTCATAGAGATGTCTGACTGTACCAGTTTTGGTTATAGAACATACTTGAGTCTATTAGAACTAGCAAGACCAGGAAAGGAAAAATGAAGAAGATCATCCATTTATTCTGTTACTAGCTCTGATGAGTAATCTCCTGCTCTTCGAGATTATTTCCTAATCGGAAGATTCGCCCAGCCTGTTCCTGCGTAAGAGGGAGGTAAGAGATTTAACCTATAAATAGAAAGCAAAAATCTTTCCATTTGGTGTATAAAGAAAAGTAGGATGAAGCAAACAATGAAGGATCAAAACAACAGCTTCTGTAGTATCAGGAATTCTGCGTTCCCCATCAACTTTCTTTCCTCTTTGCAGTCTAACTTATTAAAATGGTGCATGCACTTAGATTCTTGCTCTTAAGAACAATATACCTCTTTACTATCATTGTACTTCACCAGACCATCAGTGCTTGATCCACAAATATAGCAGCATCTTCTGCATATCTCTGTGCCCTCCCCTCAACCTCCCCCGTCAGAATACATACTAATTTGTAACTAGGCTGCTGGTTATAGAGGAACAGAAATGTTAGTTTTGAACCTTTCAGAAACTTGGAAATTTTGAGGCTCTTTATGCTTTTCATTTATAAATGATGTATTTAGTTACATCTCGTATTTTTATGAAATTTCTGTTATATAATATGGAGGTTAAGTATATTTTATGATTTTGAATACAAAATATGTACAAAAACATACATATTGCACATATATATAATTAATTGAAATTTATATTATAGGTTAGAGGTGTGTTCTCACTTCCCTCCGAACTCCTGTCTCTTGTTCACTTTCCTCCTCTGGCTTTATGATATTTTGACTCTTCTCTCCTCCTAAGCATGGTAAGAGGTGTGTTCTCTTGACCGTTTCATTGAAGATATATTCTACGTTCCTTCCGGGCCCGTAGTTGACATCTTTGACTGGTACGTTGGTGTATGTGTGTGTGTGTATATATATATACATACCATTTCCATATAAAAGGGACAATGGAATGTATGATCCCACAGAGTTAATGTTATTGCTCTATGTAATGCTTCTCCTTCTTCGTACTTCCATATTGCTTATTCTTTTTTCTTTTTTTTTTGATAAAGTAAGCGGAATTTTATATATGGCATCCAGAAGATGCAAGGTGTACAAAAGAGAGTACTTAAACAAACAGTCAGCTAGGAACAAAAAGGAGCTAAGCAAGAGCTAAAGAGGTGAACAACAACAACAACAACAACCCAGTCTAATCCTACTAGTGGGGTCTGGAGAGGGTAGTGTGTACGCAGACCTTACCCCTACCCTGGGGTAGAGGCTGTTTCCGATAGACCCTCGGCTTCCTCCCTCCAAGAACTCCCCACCTTGCTCTTGGGGTGACTCGAACTCACAACCTCTTGGTTGGAAGTGGAGGGTGCTCACCACTAGAGCAACCTACTCTTGTCGGAAAGAGGTGACAAAATAAAAAAACTTCATATGACAGTCATTAGGAACTAAGATATGCCAACTATACAACCATAGAAGACATCTAGCCTTAAGCACCATAGGAGGAGTTGATATCCTGTCAAAACACCTCCATATTGCTTACTCTTAAATGGTTGTCCTGATCACCTTGTATGAAACTCGAGCTGTTTTTGTGTTTCCTGTGACTGTGTGACATTAATTCCCTTTATAATGAATGGGAAATGGTTTTTCTAGGAAAGCAAATACAATGTGAAGATGAATAGGTCTTGGGGCTGATCCCTCTTGCCCTTCAAGGGCTGTTGTTTGCCTGCCCACAGAGAGGAACTTAGTTGAAAAATCAATCCACCGAATCATAGTTCTGTAGCATTTGGTAGGTTGCTTCAATACGTGGTTTATGTTAAGGTAGGACTCCTTTTTACTATGGTGTTTTTCCATCTATAGCTTGAGGCTGTTTTATTGATTTCTGGTAATCTAAGAGTTCGTTAAGGAAGTGATGGATGTCTTAGTTGGTTTTTCTTGTCGGTTGATATATGAAAGGCTTACGTTTTATGGCGCGAGGTCTAGATTATAGATTGGATTTTCTCGTCGAAGGGGCAGTTCCAGTGCATGAAGCTTTGCTATGTGCAGGGTTGGAAAAGAGGGTGAACTACATTGGGTCTACTTTTTTGTGACTTCTTTGATCACGGCGGAAATAAGTCATGAGATTGCACGGGGAAAATCTTGATCTGCATACAGTGCTGGCGTTTTCATCAGTGATTTTCTTTGATCTTCTCACACTAATGAATATACTTTTCTTTAGATGAAAATTTGCGATAGGTTGATTCTCAGTGAATATAAACTATGATATCATGAATCTTCTAAATTCAGGGCCCTCGAAATATTGATTGGACTAAAGCGGAATTGCTATAGATCATTCGTATAGTTGATTTTCTTTGAGATTAACATGTAGTTGATTGAATAACACATTGACCACCTCTTTAATCATGCTTCAAACATCTCGCGATCTTCTCTCTTTGCTTCAAAAGGTTTAGAAGATAGGTTTAACTAAACAAAATGAAAAGAAAAGAAAAGAGGGATTGAGCTCGCATCATTGAATTGAACCAGCAAATCTGTAGAATAGAATAAACTTGGTGTTACAATTTAAAAACAGAAAGTCGAATAAACTGAATTGTTAATTACAATGTTCTAACTTCTCTGTTTATATATAGTACTAATAATTTATTTTATAGCATTTGGATTAAAAAAAGGTTTTGATTTTTGTTTTGCTTCTAGGATAGTTGCTTTGATTTTAGTTAGAATAATTCGTTTTGAACATATTTTGCTAGAAGTGGTGTTGGCTTTCGCTTGTCTGAGGGGGAAAAAAAAAACACTCCAACACAAATTCATTCAAATGATCTATAATTGCATGACAAGTCAATCTTGATGACCGGCATAGGCGGATGTAGAGTAGTGGCTCTAGGTTCATCTGAATCCATAATTTTTGACGTGGAATATAAATTTATAAATAAAAATTTATTAAAATTGCAACAAATGGTAGGTTTGAATTCATAAGTTTAAAAGTATAATGAGTTCAATGCTAAGAGTCTTAAAGGTCGAACTCATAAAATTTAAATCCTAAATCCGCCTCTAAGAGTCTTAAAGGTTGAACTCATAAAATTTAAATCCTGAATCCGCCTCTAAATTAATCGAGAATGAGCTACCTCCAAGCTATTACATGGATACGCAAGAAAAAAATGTATTAATACAGTCAGATTTTTCTATAACATCTTTATATACCAGTCATTCACTATAAAAGCCTAATTTTTTTCGGAACCGATTTTTATGTTATTTTATAATATGTGTCATCTATAATAATATTCCACTATCACAGTCAAAAAATAAAGGCTTGACTGTATAACAAAGAAGTTTTCTGTATCCTTGCCATTGTCCCTTGATCACAAGTGGTCTAGTCAATGTTATTTGACAAATCAATCATGCAAGGATTATCATCAATTGCAATTTGGTTAGTCAATTGCACTAACCAAATTGCTCAATAGGCGATAATCCTCCTATGCAACCAGGATGGCAGTAAAAAGTGTTAAAGTAAGCAAAAGCAGAGATAGGTAAATGTATATTCCCTTACTAAAAAGGCGGACTACTACTGGAGAATAGTTTATGATTGCGTCTTTGATTTATATTACTCGCGTTAAACCTACCAAAGAAATAACATCAGCCTCCTAAAAGTGCTTTCCTAGGTGGGAGAAAGAAAAAGATATTTAGCTTTTCTGTCCGCCTCCTCTATGTAACAAACTAAAAGTAGACAACAACTCTCTTTCAATAGAACTGACCGATTATATTAAACACTAAACTGAAATTACAAAGCAAACACTAACTAGAGTAAAAAAGATTGCAACATAAAGCTAAGAAGAAAGGACATAATTGGGGATGGGAAGATACCAAAAATACCTTTGGACATAATTCACGATAGCCTACTGATAGTGTTACCATGTACTATTTAAATTCAAAGTGCCCTCAGTCTGAATCCCAGAGTAACCTTTGTGAAAG